CTTGTGCAAACTCAAACCCTAATTTTGGGGTATCGGTGCAAGATGAGATGTCCTGGGCTGAGCAAACCTTAATTTTGTCTTGAGTCCAAGAGGTCTTGTGAGAAAAGTCTTGATAAATGAGAGGGAAAATTTTGGGGTACAACATGCATTAAAAACTAACTCAGATCTCACCATACACTCGTGTTTCTCAATCTCGTAAAATCAAGAAATGCAATTTTATTACGATTTCATTCGTGAATACAACACGAATTCAAGAAAACTGAAATCAATTACACATGCCTCACATACACTCGTGTTTCCATGTGAATCAAGTTGGAGCTCTTGATACCAACTGTTGGTGCATAAGATTGAAGGATAGAGAGAGAGAGAGATACGACTATAAAAAAAATTGTTGAGGAAGCAAATTTTATATCCACAACTTACTCTCTACTATAAAATCTTAGTTATAAACTTGTTTAAATACATAAAATAAACTATACGTAGGCCCTAACAAAAGCATGCTAAATATCTAAGCTAACACAACAAACTAGAACCCCAGAAGCTAAATATACTTCTGGGATGCAACCTCGGAAGCTTTTGCTTCTGACTAATACAAATACTTCTAAATATAAATTACTTCTAACACTTTAGACTGAAATTCATGCAATTCATCTAGACCTCTTAATATCCAAAGATATAAGTTTAAATAACTTAGTTTTCTAATCATACTCTTACCATAGTATCGCTTTCATTAAGAGTCCATTGAGCAAGTACCATGAGCATTTTGGGTTGGTTCAAGACATTAAAAATATACAAGTTAAAAATAGGTTCTTCATAATTATCCATATTTTTTTAAGGCGGGAAAATTGCACATATTACTTAGTCAATCTTGGAGCTTATTCTAACACAAACCTCACGATAAACATTAACATTTCTCTTATGCTGAGTAACATCTTTATAACTTATGTCCAATGTTTAGTTTTTGCAACGTTGTAAAATAAAATTAGTGGTGTGAGTTTGGATCCGTGCACCACTTTGGATATAAATCAGAAGAATTTTTTCCCCTCGCACAATTCTCAAGTGTTGGCGCAATTCAGAGGGTCAAGTAAGGAATATTTTTTATTTGGGGACTACCTTTAGGAGCAATACACTCTTGTAAAAGACATGCCACATATTCACCCAAAATCTTAAGGTTATATATGTGTGTGTTCTCCCACTTATAAATGTTTAAATCTCCATATTCTTAACCAATGTGAAACTTCCCCACACTACTCACATTTGTAATTCTTTTTCAACATCAGACACTTTTTAAGTTTCTTAAAATACTTTGTTGTAATTCTAATATTACGATTGACATTTTTAATGTTTGAATTCTAAAATTTCAATGTACTCTAAATCAATAATTTTTGTATTTACATGTTCAAATATTCTAGAATCTGAATGGTATAACTTATAAAAAATAAAATAAAAATTAACACGTGTGAAGTCTAAAATTTTAAAGTGTAAATTTTAAGATTTCTAGAATTTGAAGAGGAATTTATATTTTTAAATTTTTAAATAGTCAATTGATCCCTGAAAGTTTATGTGTTTTTTATTTTAGTCCTTATATCTATTTTTTTAAGATAAATTTCTTATATGTTAATTTTCATTTGGCTTTAGTCTCTAACATTAACTCCCCGTTAAAAGAAAATAAAAATAGAGATGACTAATATTGCTGAAATGATTTTATTTTTTAAAATCTCAATTGATGATGACGTTTTATTTTATTTAACTTTCAATTGTGGATGTGGATGTGGATTTGCTTTATTTCTCCCAACCCCCCAACCCCCCCCCCCCCCCCCCCCCCTCCAAAAGAAAATCTCAAATAGTGTTTCACATATAGTTCCTGAGATTCTGGGTTCACCTGGTTTGTTGCGAATATATAGAGGATGGTCCTGGTTTGTTGCGAATATATAGAGGATGGTCCTGAAGTTTATCATTCCATATGAAGAGCTTACAACTATTCATTTCCTATTAATTTGAATAGTGAAAATTAACATAATTAGATTAACAATGTACAATGAACAATGATAAGTTGAGGTCAAACTTACCTCTGAATTTACACATTTTCAATATTTTCTTTTAGGGCTTTCAGTGGAATTAGACAAAAAACATCTTTATTGATCAATTGCAATATTTTGAGATTTGAAACGAGGTTGAGTCCCCCATAGATAAGTTAGACATGCCTCAATATGCAAAAATAAAGGAAACGAGAAGATAATGCATAAATGAAGGAATGAGGAGGAAGAAGAAGATTTTAAAATAACACTTTCTTTTGGATTGGTCCTTCTTTTTAATATGACCAAACTACATAATCTATGTCACCGTCTGATTCATCAATTAAAACTTTAAAAAAATAAAGTCATGTTAACAACGTTAGCCACTTCATCTTTTTTGTTACGTGGAACTAATACCACAGACTAAAATCAAATGAAAATCAACGTATAATAAGCTTATAAAAAATACAATAATTAAAACTAAAAACACGTCAACTTACAGGAGTCTGGAGTCTGTTAACTAATTAAGCTTTTTTGAAAATAGAAGTTGAGAAATAGGAGTTTGAATGATATATTAAAAAAATTATACTCTAAATTCTAAAATTAAAAAATAGTGTTATTTTTGAAATTTTGAGTAGCACAACATGGGTGTGGAAAAAAGAAATACACATAAAGTTGGAAGATTTAACTTGACACCCTCACACTTATATTCTCCCATTGTGTATCTTTTTACCATTATATTCTTACCTAAAGTTATTAAATTTTAAAAAATATACAATTTATCAAAATTTTCGAAAATTTATCGAAATTTTCAAATTTTCATGATTTCTTACCGGAAATTTCAAAAATATACTGGAAATTTTAAAAAAATTACTGGATTTTCAAAAAATCTGATAGCTCATTTTTGGAAAAAACAAATTGTACTACCGAAATTTCGAAATTTACTTTATCATACCAGAAATTTTCGATAGTACAAAATAAAAAAATTTCAAGAATTCTTATAAAAAAATTTGGGTACCAGAAATTTCATTCTTGCCACCCCCAAATTTTGTTCATGGCCAATTTGGGAATTAAAAAAATTGGAGGGGTTCCAAGTTTCGTTTGTAGGGTGTCAAGTGAAATTCTCAAAAAGTTGTGGTCCTCGAATCAGTCCACTAGAACCATATACTGTAGCCTACAGGTCCGTGAATACGAAAATTTAACATGCCACTTTTTACCGTGCGCATGTATTCAACCGAAAATTTAAAATTTCCGATACCAAAATTTTAAAATTTTTGAGAACTGACATCCTTGTATCTCACCCTAAAGGCATTTAACCTTCATAGTATAGATAACATCAGAGGTGTTCCCAAATTTATTTTTCTTTTGCAATTTCCTCCTCTATCACAATCCATAATCAATTTATCCTTCCTCCCTCGGGTTTTATTAGCAGAACCGAAACGAATTGTAACAACAACAATACCATGCTTTTTACCAATAGACTGTGCCAAATCTAAAACTTTAGATCGAGATTCAAAAACCTGCCAATTACAACAACATATCATTAGTAAACTTCATCAATTTATTTAAGGTGAAAAACAAGTAAAAAGGTGTAAATTCAATAGGAAACATATGATATCTATGGTGAAGAACTGCGTAACATCAGTACATGAATTCGTAGAAGTTGAAGTTGTCAACTCCGGACCGCAAAGACATATAATTTCATCTGCAGACATACTGAAAATTTTTCGTGTTTGGCTGAAATTTTTGGTATTCCGGAAATTTCAAATTTCCGATTTTATGCTACCTACCGGAAATTTACGTAATTTTAGGTTTATGTATGTTTTTGGAAATCGTCCCGAAAATTTTGAAATTTCCGGTGAATCCCACCTGGAATTTTTGAAGTTTTCAGTTATTCGCAACCAGAAATTTAAAAAATGCAAAGAATTTTCGATATGCGTCAAAATTCGGCACCGAAAATTTGTTGGGTGTTCCGTAAATTTCGTTTTTAACCTTTTTGATCAATAGTAAAATTTTGACAAATATAAAAATTTTATAAGTAAAAAGTGAAAGAGATATTTTAGAAATAATTAAATATGGGGGGTGCCGTGTATAATTTAGGAGTGGGATGTTAAATTCTCTTTGAATACCACCTTTAGTGTGGGCCACTGTGCTGCAAGATCATTTCAGTCCTGGCCGAATAAGTTCATTTTTGGTTCACTTTGTAAGAAGATAGTGCCAAGTACACAATCTGCATTGTAGACAAGCTTAACCAACAAAAAAAGCACATGAGGACAAGCATTGAGAATAAGAAAGGGAGTAGGTACTGATTCAATCAATATGTTGTAATGTTCTAGCATTTTTTCTTTTACAATGTCGCCAAAATAAGAAAAGGGTAGTTATTAACTCTTAACTGCAGATCTTATAATAGCAGTTTGCTAATGTAATAAGCGATCCAAATTAGTACTAACGAAATAAGCAATCAATTGGAGATTTGTTTGCTTCTTCCACACAGCAGTATAGTTTAAACAAATCCTCCACTGGTATTTGGCATTATCTTGTACTTTTTATATACATTTGACATAGCATCTTCCATACAGTTGTGTTCAAAAGCAAGTTAGTCTACTATGAAGCTTCTGACTTTTCTTCGACAAAATGAAGCTTCTCCAACTTCAGATCAAATATTCAAAACTTATATTCTAGTAATTAAATAAGTTATTTTGGCCTCAAAGCTATTCTGGAAATTTCTGAGAAGTTTAGAAAAGTATCATGCAGAAAATAATATATCATAAAAATATGAATTTAAATTCCGTACACCGAATGAAAAGCATGGAAATTTATTATTCTAAATGTGTATACATGATGTCTATAAGCTATAGTTACATAAATATCCCCTCCTCTACAATAATCACAAATTGCATCAATTAGAGGAGTGGATTTGCACACATACTACTCAAACAATCACAACAGAGAGTATTTAACACACAATCATCTCAGCTCATTAGATCAACAACCTCGAATGTCGCGCCACCTGAGATAAACTAACCCTGCACGATAGTGAGTGTATGCCCCGGCTACAACCAATACATGAAATAATTGGTGACTGTGTCCAGCAATGTCAAATTTCCCAGGCATCCATCGTTCGGGAATCCTGGTGGCATAAACCAGTGCCCCAAGTCCATAGAAAGAACCCATCAGAATCTCATAACCAGTTGTGTAAAACACCTCAGGTTCACCCCAGAACAGAAAAAGCTTGTGCAGAATAGGTCCTGCACCAGACAAACCCATTCCCAAAAAGAGGGATGCACGGATGGTGCGGAATTCTGGAGTTTGGAAAACTGGAAGGAGAGAAACCAAGATGGTGGCAATGCCCAATATAGTAATAAAGCCCAAGTAAAGGTTGCAGAAAAATGGATAACACATAAATGAGTAATAGACTGGAGGAAAAAAAGAGGTAGATATCAAAGCTGCAATTCCGGCATAGTCAAGCCTGAGCATAATGTACGATACGCGTTCAGAGTGGCAAGAGACGAGATGGCAAACACTGCTAGCTAGCAAGCAGAACATGGCTCCCCCTAAAAATGCATAAAAAGGCCACCTTGTAATTGGTCTAATCACCAGTGGTGCTATTAGGTTCGCCAGGTCCTCTTTTACGTTGTGCTGCACAAAATCATCAAAGAAATAAGCAAAGTTGTATTGACTCCAAAAGTCTAGTTAGTAGTTAATCATCAACAGAAACAGAAGAAAAAAAACATAGCAAAACATTTCTAATCAGAAATATATGAGATTTAATTCTAAAGGTTTCAAGGAAATTTTGTATGAACTAACATCTTTAACCTTTCATTCAGTATTTTTCCTTTATCAAGTTTAACTCTCAATTTGTTTTTTTATAAACCTCTACCATATCAGTTATTGCACTCCAGATAAGATATGCATCTCATATCTTTGTGCTTCAGCACATTGATTTTTAATCAATATTCTAGAGACCCTTAAAGAAGACTAGAAGAATCTATCCACAAGTAAAGATACAGAGAAAATAACACATGCTGATACATCAACAATCAATGAGTGAGCTAGACTAAGTAACACCTCACTGCCACTCCTCAAACCACAAAAGGGAAAGCAGGACTATAACTAGCAGTCGGATGTAAAGTAATTACCAGAACACAAACATCAGTATGATTGCTACTGGAAAATCTTACAGGCAAACAATTATACAGAAGTTCTTTAATATGCCAGCTTGAGATTTCATCCCTGAGTCTTTGCAAATCAGGCATGGAAGGTAGGCACGTCAAAAGTTCTGATTGTAGTTTATGCAGGTCACCGTTCTTGAGGATGTCAGGCAAATGCTGTAATGAATTAAGATCTACAACCTGTGGGACTTTCATGGCTGTGTATATGGTCAACGCCAGGAACAGGAAGAACCCAATCAAATGCCTGCAAGAGAAAACATTTTTCATTTTACAATTGAGAACAAGAAGTTAGGAACATGATATTCAATATCTTATGATGCATGCAAGTCAAATCTGAAATCGATACTAAGAAGAGTATGCAGAGATTAAATTCAACAAAAAAGGGTGTTGTTGTTATCTTACGTCCAAACATTGAGAGTTTCATTGTGAATTGTAAAGATGCTAAGCAAAACCTGCTTCATAGGCCATTCAGATCGATAGTGACCAAGAATATACTCATTGTCTCTAAGAAAAGCTGGCAAAGAATGATACTCAACAAGCTGGTACTTGACCTTCTTCCATAGCCTTTTCCCTTTCCCTTCTCGATCGTTCTCCAACAAACCAATGGAATCTTTATCAATTGAATTGTCACTGCCCATTATCTACAAACAATTGTTAAAGAAATTGAAATCAATTGAAGGATATTGAATATGTGAAAGGGGGAAGAAAAGGTTTACGAATGAAAATGTGATGATTAGGGATTTAAGGAAAATGACAAATGTGAAATTGGACAAGGAAACAAATTGAATGTCGACCAGCGGAGAATCTTCGATTGAGATGCGGAGATGCCACCTAAGATTTGTTCTAATCACTTTCTTTTCGTCGCAGGGATTTCTTGTTATACCAACCTTTTTTTTTTTTTTTTAATCTTATTATTATAACAACATATATCTCCATTAAGTTACACCAACAATTTCCTAGCTTCTATCGATTCAAAAACATAGGTCATTACTACTTGGATTACTTATATATGTTGATTTTTGCCACCACAAAGTTCTAGAAGAAGTAACCGGCAAGATATATGACACATTCATGTATTACAGTTAAACTTACTATAATGTATTACAAGTCTATGTACGCGCATGTTAATGAACTAACCTCTTCTCTCAAACTAAATGACACTTTATTCCAAAATCGTATAGTCAGTGGTTGGATCCACTACTAAACAATATGTGTTCTTCTACTCCCCACCATTCACTGCAACACACGTCTGCTCAATGATATACTCTGGTAGGATCACGAGTGAATAATGTGATTTAGGACTTATTTGTTTTGGTTTTTTTGAAAAGATTTTCATATCATTACATATTGTCAAAATATTCATTTTAGTTCCTTAATTATAGATTATGATTCAGTTTGACTTTTTAATTTTTTTTCGTATCAAGTTGATCCTTTAATTTTTAAAACGTAACAAATAAGTCCCTTACGTCAGTTGGGCTCAAACGTCCATTAATTTTACCTACGTGACAGGTGAGCTAACATGTTATCTTCATCATCTTTATTCACCATCATCAACAGTTGTGTTTCCATCATTAATCTAATATTTCGCATATCAAACAATAATAAAACATCAAAGAAACAAATCATGAAGATTCATACCCATTGGATTCTTTCAAATAATAGGACACTTCGGTCCACTTGCTATCTTCTTAATCATCTGAAAAAATCAACTTTCCACCTAACTAAAACCTCAATTTCGGGAATCATTCAAAATCAACAACAAAAATTACATGAATCAAAACCGAAAAAACCACAAATTGAGCAGAGAAAAACGTTAACAACTCGATGTTGGTCTCATTTCATCCTTGCAGTCTCATTTCATCTTCAACATTCAACCTTCAACCTTCAACCCGAGTTTATTTCTCAGTCTCTATGCTCTCTGAACCAACAACAACAACAACTTCATAGAAAACAACACAAAACACAAAAAAATTGAAAATGAAGTAGAGAAGAAGAAACACTTGCGCAGAAAAATTAGAAACGCATACATGGGTCGCTGATTTTCTGTCATCGCTATCGAAGACGCATCATACCAGTTTCCGATAGGTAAGCCTCTATGCTTCTTTCTTCTTCATCGTGTATGTTATTCTGTTTATGCTTGCTCTGAAATGAAACTCGAAACAGATTCGAAAAGATGATGAGGAAGCAACGGTGAAGAATCGCGAATGAGACAAAGTTATTGAGCGAAGATGAGACAAAGTCGTAGCGCAATTAAGCGAAGAGGTTGATCCGCATAATTGAAGGTGAAATGGAGAATAAGGCGTGAAAATGAGTGTTGGAGAGAGTATAAATGGTGTGGAAAAAAACCCCTAAACTCAATTATTTTTTTCATCTGGACTCCAATTAGCCACTTCAGCAAGTCAAATGTCACTTGTAGCCTGTTTTTTGACTTTGACTAACAGTTCACTAACGGAAGGACTAACGTGGTTACGTTTTGAAAATTAAGGGACCAATTTGACACGAAAAAAAGTTAAGGGACCAAATGAACTATGGCATATAGTTAAGGGACCAAAATGAGTATTTTGTCTTACATATTTTTGTTTAAAAAATATTTTTTTTTTTAAATTAAAGTTTTAAATGAAAAATTGGTTTAAATAATTATTTTTAAAATGTTATTTTAAATATTTTATTTTTTTTATTATAAATTTTTTTAGATAGCAAAATTTCAAAAAAAAAAAACTTAAATTTTTAAGCATTTCAAATAGTTTTTCTTAAAAGTTATTTTTTAAATATTTAAAAAAAAAAATTGAGATTCCGACGACTATATTTAATCTTCACTAATATATATTTATGTTATAAAATTTCGAAATTAATTTTATTTATTTATAAATAAATGAATTAAAAAAACTTTTAATATTTTAAAATTTATTTTTATAAAATTATTTTTAAAAATATAAAAAAAAAATCTATTTTTTTAAAGATAAAACAAGCGGACCTTTAGTATCTTCCTAAGTTAGTCTTACACTACTTTAGGAACGTGCGAATTATAACCTATTTCCAAATATTCATTTGTCTATGTTGAACTTATGATTAGTCGTTAGTAGGTTGATTTGATGCAAGGTCCGCCTGTATAAGACCAACAAACTCTACAACACATGACCCCATATTTTAGAAGGTTTATTTTTTGTCAATAGTATTAATAGACAAACAAAATGCTACAATAAAAATCCATAAATAAAAAAAATATATAATGATAAAAACTCAATACATTTTTTATGAGAATGGTCAAAACTTAAAATAGTTATAATTAAAATTTATTTTGATTAATATATAATTATATTTTTTATATCTTATTTTTAATTATTATAATTATATTTTTTTTAAATTAATTTATTTTTTAAATTAGAACGGAGTCTTCGGATTGATTGGATCGAGTCTCATTGAATTTATATTGAATAGTTGGATATGTGTTGTTTACAAATGACTAGTGCTAATATACTCATTATATTCTACGTGATTTGGAGACTAGGGTAGGATACATGAGGTAGTATTTTCATATATCACATTTATACTTGTTTTTCATGCCTAAAGGAGATTCTTCAAGACAACTTAGGAGGAAACACTTACATAGAGAGCAACAAAATATAGAATGTCAATGCAAGTAGTTTTGTCCTTAATGCATTGGTATTCGACACATTACATCTAATATACTCTATTATATGTGAGAGAGAGAGATAAGATGGAATTATAGTTCATGAGTTTGTGCAATAGATTCTAAAGGAGACTAAGAATGCCTTGCAACACAAGAGGTTGAGGGGAAAGAGGATAAGTTGTGTGCGAACACAATATGATGTACGTTTTATTTTTCTTATTATGTGTTATATTATGTTTTCTTTTGTTAAAATATTACGTTATTAGATTATGTTATGGTTATTAATGATGTTTGTGTAAGTAAATGGTTCAAACAAAGCATGTATTTTGCAGTAAAATACAAGTTTAGATTATATATTTTGAATTCTTAATGAGTGAGTATTTTATAAGTTCGGATTATAGAATTTATACATGAGTCATGTTCGGATGGTTGAATCCCAAACTTTTCAACCTATCAATTTCTCCAATAATTTTTATGAACTATAATTTGATGTTTTATGTGTTAGTGTAGGTATAGCAATTAGTTTTTTAATCAGAGTTGTCACTCTTAATTTTTATTCTAATGTAGTGAGTTGTGGTCGGAGAAGAGGAAATCTCTGCGTCTGAGAAGCGACTGGATCAGAGGGAATGACAAGATCCGTTGTGTTCAATTTCCACTCTTCCTTTTCTTCTGTTTTTCCAGATTCAGACTTTCATTTATTTTATTTTATTTTTGCAAAAAACAAATCTGTAAGTTTGGGAAAATATTGACATAACCTTTGTTTGTTTGGAACCCCCAAGATCACTACCCACTTGTTATTAGCTCGTGGTTCTTGAATCTGCATAATAGTTCTTGTGTAATGACATGATAATGGTTATTTTTCATGAAATTATATTGACAGTAACTGAAAAGTGTGGGAAAAAATTAGTAATATTGACGAATGAAAATTAGAAAATGTTGATGTTACTATTTACAATATTCGTGAGTAAAAAGAGGTTTAGAGTTTTGTATGATTTGGAGTATAATTTTGAAAGTGACAGCGAATGTTAATTTTTTGAGACTTTAGTCAGTGAACAAAACATGAAAGAAACTGTGAATGTTAATTTGCAATTGCCTTTTAAGAAAGGTGGAAATGCTGATAAGTTTATGTTGAAAGTGAATCAGTCTAAATTATGTAGCACGTGAACTGTTAGTGTAAGAATAATAATAAGAGTTAATGTGTATGGAAAATGTAGTGTGGAAAATAGCAAAACATCAAATAACATTATATGGGAAAGATAACCAATAAAACAAAATAATAATAAAAAAGATAAATTTAACAATGAGGCCTCATAAAAATTCTTGGCCAAGAATAGTTGTTGTTAGATATAGACAACAACCCTAAAATAAACAAAAAAGAGAAAAAAAGAATTGTAATAGGTTGAAAGGAAAAAAAAGTATGTTTTTATAGATTTGTGTGTGAATTCTGGATGAAAATTTTAGACAATGAGGAGTCATATTTATAGAGTGGGAATTAGGTTAAACAAACTTAACAAGTAAGTTATCTAAAGTGAATGAAAAGCCCAAGCCCGATTTCTAAAAAGGAAAGAAAATTAGTAACAAAAAGAAATAAAAAGAACATCACAAGTGCTCCAACAGAGATTCAAACATGCGCCCTTATACTTGCAAGCTTCATTCTTTACCAATTGTGTTGTGTTACTTATTTGTAAATAAACTCAATTTGAAAGTATATGAAAGGTGTGCAGATATTTGCTATTTTAAAAATACAAATAATTTGAAATTAATCATTATATTTTTAAATAGGTTTGGAAGCGAACATTTATAAAAGTCAAATAATATTATAAAAACAAAGTTTTAAATATTGTTGACTGGACTTGAGAATGAACATCTATAAAAATCAAATAATATTATAAAAATAATATTTAAAATATTTTTTACCGTCGAAATAAAAGGGCGAGCAAATTTGGAGTATGACAGTTGCTCCTATTTAATCATCTTTTGATTGAATTGTGCGAGAATACACGGATCTCGCATGTTCTGATCGAAAGTTTATTAAATATTGGAAGACCCCAAAAATTGTCTGAAAGATTATAAAGATATGTTGTACAGTGTTCCCATGAATGTCAAAAGTAGGCGTAGATGATGATGTATCATCCTACCGGCGTTTGAACCAAAGTTTTGATTAAAACCTAGACACGACATCACGGATAACTCGTCAGTATCTAAGAGATTGTAGATTCTTTTGCATATTTATCGTAGCCTAGGAGGTAAATAGCATAAGTTAAAAGATTGATAACTTATTGCTACATTGAGACCGATGCAACAAGTTATATCGCATATTTGTATACCTATCACAACCTAGGAGATAGATACTACGGGTTTGAAGTTAAAAGCTTGAGTTTGATAACCAAATCCTAGATAATTAAACCGAAGATGTAGATCGTAGATATACCAGTTGTGTATGTTCTCAACTGAGATATTTGCTGAATAAGATTGAAGTTATACCAGTTGTGTTTGTTCTCAACTAAGGTATAGGATTAACATGAAGAATTGAACCCCAAAGTTTTATTGATGATGTCGTTTGTGTCTGTTCTCAACCAAGACTCGATCAACATGAAGAAATGATCCCCCAAATTCACTGATGATGCCGGTTGTGTCTGCTCTCAACCAAGACTATTAACATGAAGAAAATAAACACCAAATTCACAATGATGTCGGTTGTGTCACCCTCAACCACAACTATCAACGTGAAAAACTCCAAATTTATGATGAAGTCAGTTGTGTCATCCTCAACCACAACTATCAACATGAAGAACACCAAATTCATAATGAATTCGGTTGTGTCATCCTCAACCATAACTATTAACGTGAAGAACACTAAATTCATGATGAAGTTGGTTGTGTCATCCTCAACCACAACTATCAACATGAAGAAAATAAACACCAAATTCGCTTAAAGTTTGAACTATAAAGTTTACACAAATAAGCTTGTTAATGATGAACCCTAAGAAAATTTTTAATTCCAGCCAAAGTAGCTCTGCAAGATGCACTGCATGCATAATGCCCTAAATTGATGTGTTATCCAGGTGTGAGGTATGCCCAACATGTTTATAATGTATATGTAAAAAAATACTCATGTGCTTATGCCCCAAATGCTTGTATGTGTATGGCCCAAGTATGTGTATGCTCCTAGTATGCGTACATGCCCTGAATGTATGTATATGCCTCAAATGCATGTGTGTGCCCCAAGTGTTTTGAAAATGTTTTTGATAAATCTCTTTTGTTAAACCACCGGGTTCTCATAGTCGCCAACTCCCCAACGGTGTTTGTTGCCAATTATTGTATCTCCAAGTGGATTTGAATTTGGTGAAAGATGTTAGCAAGATCTTGATGTATGTACCGTAGGCGCAAGCATAGGTATGGACGCAGACGTGGATATT